TACAGCAGTTTCATAGTCTTTAAAAAAGCAATACAGCCGAAACCGGTTTGGCTCAGTGGATAGAGCGTCGGCTTGCGGACTGAGGGGTCCCAGGTTCGATTCCGGTCAAGGGCATGTACCTGGGTTGCGGGCACTTCCCCAGTGGGAGATGTGCAGGAGGCAGCTGATCGATGTTCCTCTCTCATCGATGTTTCTAACTCTCTATCTCTCTCCCTTCCTCTCTGTGAAAAATCAATAAAATATATTTAAAAAAAAAAAAAAAAAAGCAATACAGTTCACATCGATAAAGAAGTTCTGTCAACCTCCTTTAGATAAGTGCATTCTAAAAAAATGGAAGTAAAATTAAGTATTACAGATGTGGTCTATCCATTCTAGAATACAAAAGGGGACCCAATTCCTTTGTTCTAGACAAATCTATTAATGTGGCCTAAGATTCCACCAATTATTGTGGCAGACAAACCCCCAAAGTGCCAGTCAGATACATTCACAAGAAGAACTACTTTTAGGTCAGTTCATCCTTCTCCAATCAGTAAAAATATTCAACCCAAGTACTAACACTTAGCTTTATCATTCTGCTTTCAGCTTGTTTAGACCTTCATGAACTGTTATCTTGATCACCTAATATATTATCACCTGCAAAGCTTTGGTACCGCAAAGACTTCTTCCAGGATGCACTTTTAATCAGCAACCAATATTGTGGGTAATGCAAGGAGTTGTTAATTCAATTGGGCAAACATGCATGATCGTCCTACAAGCATTGTTTTAGCCAGTGAAAACAAAGAAAACTAACTGTCCCTACACTCAAAAACTCAAAAGTCTAGCCCGGCTGGCGAGGCTCAGTAGTTGAGCGTCAACCTATGAACCAGGAAACATGGTTTGATTCTCAGTGCAGGCTCAATCCCCTGTGGAGGGCATCTAGGAGGCAGCCAATCAATAATTCTCTCTCATCATTGATGTTTCTATCCCTCTCCCTTCCTCTCTGAAATCAATAAAAAAATATATATTTTTTAAAACCTCAAAAGTCTAGTACACTTCCAATATAAGTGTTAAAATGTAACTGCTATATAAAGTGCTATGAGGACAAAGATAAGAAATAATTAAAGGGTTAAGACTGGGGTGTTACTAAAATAATCCACTGAATCTACGATCCAATCTACATTTTCAATTTCTTCTGAAAAGTCATGAGCGTTCTTAAATACTTAATTCCCTATCAATACAACAAAAATAATAACGGCATTTAAATTATACACTCTTAAAACTAAGAGCCAAAAATCTCATAGACCAGGAAACTAAGGCATAAAAAAAAAGGTTATTAAGCCCCTATAAGTTAAGTTAGATATTTAAACCTACCCTCTAACTTCCAGGTTAGTCACCTCCTTTCCCTTGGAGGGCAAATTTTCAAATAAATCATGATATGAATATGATGTGTTCAGCCACATTTTTTCTTACCTTTATATATACACTCATAACTGTACATGGAGTTTTTTTGTTGTTGAACTTTAACTGGCTTCTCAAAAACAATTAAAAAGCCATTTCCTAATAAATAAACTTTCTGACTAAACACAGGACTTCTCCAACTTCTAATTTTCTTATTTGTAAGCACAGCCTAATAATTACAACATCTGTGCTTTGTGGAGTCATTAATACATATTTGGATTATCTTTAGTTCAGTCATTCTTCCTGTGATAATAAAGAAATCAACACAATAAACAATGCTTAAGAATGCTACCTAATAATTACATTGCATCCTGAAGAAAGGAAGACACTGCCCACTCTTTGTTTGCTATTACCCAGAACACAGAACAGTGTCCACCTTACTTAGACTCATTCAGAACACTAGAAATTCCTTAAAACACAGCTCAAATTTATTATCAGTTCATTCATATCCCTTCACAATTACACATCAAAAGTCTGACACAACCCACTTGACCTATCACTGTTAGTTCTGCCACAACCCACTTGGCCTATCACTGTTAGTTCTGTCCCACAGAATGAGTATTAGAGTGGCTCACTAATGCATTACTTTTTTGTTTTATTTTTCACTTTAATTTACTACTTTATTCTCAACTTTAACATAAGATTTAGGAAGCACTAAGACAGCAATACAACTACAATCCTATATAATAAAAGCCTAATATGCAAATTGTCTCCTCAACCAGGAATTCGACTGGGAGTTCCCTTGGCCCCTTCCCCGGCTGACTCCGCTCCAGCCGGAGGTGGCAACAGGCGGCCAAGGGAAGGGAGGCCCCAGCCAGCAGCAGCCTCAGCCCGCAGCCACTAGGGATCCTACCCATGCACAAATTTCGTGTACTGTGCCTCTAGTGAATATTATAAGAAACTTAGCCCAGCTGGTGTGGCTCAGTGGTTGTACACCTATGAAGCAGGAGGTCACAGTTCAGTTCCTGTCAGGGCACACACCCGGATTGCAGGCTCAATGCCCGTTGGGGGTTGTGCAGCAGGTAGCCAATCAAAGATTCTCATCTTTGATGTTTCTCTTTCTTTCCCTCTCCATTCCTCTCTGAAATCAATAAAAATATGTTTTTAAAAGAAAGAAACTTAAGTTTGAGTGCATAACTACATATCATTTTTTGTAAGATGGTCTCTCAACAATTAAACCTTCCTGACAGTAATGCAATCCTAAACATGAAATAACATGAAAACTGGTTTTTAAATTTGAAATTTCAAGAGAAATTTCCCAACCTCAAATTCCTCAATGGCAAGAGCACAGTATAGTTGTTTGTTACAATCCACTGGAAGCACAATATCCTTTTTCAAAACTGAGAACAATAAAAATAGGAAGTCCAGTCAAATTTTTCTAAGGTCTCTTCTGGTCCCAATAGTCCTCTACACCAACTTCTACTTATGTATGGTTTAAGCATCCAGTTGATATTAGTTAATTCCACATTACTTAGTTCCTAATAAATGTTTCCCTCAAATCCTCAAACCACGAAAAAAATTTAAAACATGGAGATTAAATTTTAAGAGAAAATTTTTAAATATTTTTTACATTTTCCAAAAAAGATACTAGAACAGAAATTCCCATCTCTTCTACAGTTTACCTTTTCAGATTGCTATTAAAATGCTGAAAATAAATAACTAAATGATAGGAGAAAGTGGGGGGTAGGTAATTGCTTCTGAATGTATTATATTCTTAAATTTTAAAAATGTTTTAACTTTATTTTTTAGAGATGGAGAGGAAAGAAGAGGGGGCGGGGAGACAAGACAGACAGACAGAGAGAGATAAGCTACAGGGGATCGAACCCACAGTCTGAGTATGTGCCCTTACTGGGAATCAAACCTGCCCCCTTTTTGGTGTAAGGGACAACGCTTTAACCAACTTAGTCACACTGACAAGGGCTAAAAAAAAAAGTTTAAAATTGCATTTGTGTGCACTACAATATTACATCGTGTCTCCTTAAAACTGTTTTTCTATAAATGTGATACAAAGTGATTTTTTTAAACAAATTAAAAGTCTACATGATATCCCTCCACTGTTTTCCTTTGTGTACTTTTAAAAATCTGAAACCTGGGCCATTTAATTATATAAAAATAAAAGTATTTTCTAATTATAAAAATGGAAAATAAAACTATACCCATCTCCTTTAATTGATGGCATACTATAATACAGAAGGTACCAAACCACACACTATAATCAATTAGAGAATGTACAACACCAAAGGGAAAAGACCAGTAACACCTGAGAATCTAACCAGAGTAAAGGTAATTCCTTTATCCCACAATTTTCCCCAACACAAGAAAAATTAACGCTATCTAAGAAACGAAATGAAGAGGCTCCTGAGGTGTTCTCTCTTGGGTGGTATGTTTACAGACGAAGCACTCATCCACCAGGTAACCGGAGCTTCCCGGGCTAGCTAAGCAGGTGTCCAACCAGATGCTTCTAAAGTCTCTTCCAGTTCTAAGATTCCTAATCTGCAAAATGCAAAATAATAATAATAACAACATAAAACATGCGTCCCTTCAATTTACCAATCTGCCCTCATGGCAACCCTAAATGCACGTATGGAAACTGAAAAGTTCCTTCTCCCCTTGCTCTGCAGTGATTTGCGAGATCCGCGCTAACAAAAGGCACGGAAAGCACGCACAGGTGGGAGAGAGGGGAGGGCGGGGCGGAGGCGGCGGCTCCGGGACGGCGCCCCGCGCCCGCTGCTCCCCGCACCTGAGCGATCGCGGCCGCCGCACCTCCACCCTCCACCCTCCACCCTCCCGCGGGGGCGTCGCGGGCGACACCCGCGACCTATCCCGGTCCGCTCGCACCTGGGCCACACACGGGGCATTGTCTGGAGCGTACAGCGCCCGAGGAAGGCGAGGAAGAAAGAGACAAAAAAGAGGGGAAACCTGCAAGAATGAAGAACAGCGGCGGGGAAGTGAAGCCCTCGGGAAGCGCACGCTCCCCGGGGAGAAGCCGGCTTCCCCGGCCATCGCTCCATCCAACCCCGATCCCCAAGCCGCCCCCGCGGCCGCCCCCGGCGCTCGCAGACGGGCGAGGGAGCGGGGCCGTGGGCCGCGCCTGGCGGGCCGGAGGCCGGGCTCCGAACAAAGCCGCGCGGCTCCCCTACCTGGGCGCGAGCGGCCCGGCGACGCCCTGGCCCCGGGGACCCCCGCCCGTGCGGGGGGCGGCAGCGCGGGCCCCCTCCCCGCCCGCGACCAGCGCCCCTCCGGGACAATGGGGCCCCCTCCCCCGCCTCCGGGCGCCGAGATACAAAGGCGAGCGGCGCGGCCGGGCGCGGAAAGTGAAGGCGGCGGAGGGCGCGGGCGCGGGAGTCCGCGGGCCGCTCCTCCGCCGTCCAGGGCGCTGCCCCGGCCCAGCCGCGGCGGGGGCTCGGGGGGAGCGCGGCCGAGAGGGCGGCACACAAAGGGGAGCGGGACCCCCAACCCCAGCGCCAGGGGCGGGGCCGCCCGCGGGGCTCCGGCCGCCGACAGTCCGCGGCACCCACCCCGCCCGCGCCCTCGGAGCCGGGGCCGCGCGCCCTTCCACTCACCCACAGCTCCGTGCCCCAGCTCATGGTGGAAGCCGCTGCGACCCGGCCGTCCGGCTGCCCGCTCTCCGTCCGTCCGTCCGTCCGTCGGCTCCGCCGTCCGTCCACGCCCTCCACTCGCTGCCGGCGGGCTCGCGGCTGCTGCTCTGCCTCCGAAGGTGCCGCCACCGCCAGGCTCCCCAGTGAGTGAGAGAGAGTCCACGGGAGCAGCCGCCGCCGACGCCGCGTCCCCGCCTCCCGGAGCCGGCAGGGAGGGGGCCGAGCCGAGGGGGGCGGGACGCGAGAGGGGAGGGGGCGGGGGGAGGGGAGGGGGCGGGCGCGGTGCACCCTGGGATCGGGGCGGACCCGCGCTCTCCGGCCGCCGCGGGCGGGGTCCTGCGGGTCAGCCACCTGCCCGGCTCCGGGCGGGGTCCCTTTCCGCCCGCACCTCGGGTCCCGGACAGTCTCACCGCCGGTGCCGCTCGGATCTCCGTGTCCAGGATGGAAAGGGAGAGAGGAAAGGACACCCACCGCCCTTCTCTGCCCTGAGCCCACTTAGAGGAGGCGGCTCCGGGCACCCGCCCTTCCTGCCCCTTCTGCACTTGGGAGAAACCCTGGCCAGGAAACCTCTTCCAAATCCTCGGGTTTAGGCCGTGGAGAGTTGCGTTGACTGTATAAGAAAAACGTCTTCATGGTTAAGGTGATCCGGGGAGTCACTAAAATGGGAACGCAATGTGCCCCTGATTCTGTTTTTGATAAAACATTTTAATTGTATAAGCTCTGTCGGGAAATCATAAAAAGAGACGCATCTTTCAGCATTCCTCTTTGGATGTTGACAAGACAAGAGAGGGAAGACGGGAACAATTGTGTCAAGCTCTCACCTGCAGAAATGAGAAGGTTCTGAAATGGGCACCTTGTGGTTGGGGATTGTTTGCAAGGGCGCCAGATTCCTCCGCGGTGGTGCAAAGAGCAGGTTCAGACTTCACATACCTCTCATTCGGAGTGTCAGAACCTGGAGGAAGGTCCACCATTTCCTTCTTCCTTTGTGGAGTTGCTCCCCAGCCTTTCTGAGCAACCATTAACTGCAGCCAGCACGTTTGGATTCGCTGTTAGCTATCTAACCTTCACAACTCCCTAACATGCTTTAGCATTAATTGCTGGTCTTCTAGACATACACGTTCAATCCAGTCACTAGTAGAATACTCCTCAGTGTGTCATGAGAGCGGAGTGTCTTAAGTTCTTCGTAAAAAGGAACCCTCACATACTGCTGGTGGGAATGTAAAATGGTGCAGCCACTATGGAAAACAGTATGTAGGGTCCTCCCACAATTAAGAATAGAGCTACTGCCCTAGCCGGGTTGGCTGGGTGGATAGAGCATCAGTCTGCGGACTGAAGGGTCCCAGGTTTGATTCCAGTCAAGGGCATGTATCTTGGTTGTGGGCACATCCCCAGTAGGGTGTGTGCAGGAGGCAGCTGATCGATGTTTCTAACTCACTCTCTCTCTCTCCCTTCCTCTCTGTAAAAAATCAATAAAATATATTTAAAAAAAAAAAAAAGAATAGAGCTACTGTATGGTCCAGCACTTCCTCTTCAGAGTGTCTGCCCCCAAATTTTTAACACATCTACACTAATAAAATACAAAGATGCTAATTGACCATACCTTCGCTATGCTCATCAGCCAATCAGAAGAATATGCAAATTAACCCAACAAATATGGCCGTTAAGTTTGCATACTGCAGGCAGATCGCGCTGCGCCATCCCGCCGGGGGCTGGCGGCAGCACGATCCCCAGCCGCTGCCCACCCCAGCACAGGATCCAGGCTTGCCATCTACAACCGGGGGAGACTGGGCAGGCACCGTGGGATCAGGTGTGCCATCTGCCACCAGGGGAGTGGGCCTAAGCCAGCAGGTGGTTATCTCCCGAGGGGTCCCAGACTATGAGAGGGCACAGGTTGGGCTGAAAGAACCCCCCGCCCCCCCGGCCAGTGCACAAATTTTTGTGCACCGGGCTTCTAGTCTATAATAATAAAAGGGTGATATGCTAATTAGACTGGACATCATTCTGGGCATCCTTCCAGATGAAGCCAGCAGCCAAAACAAAGCCCAGGTCCCAGGTGCCAGAGGGAAGCCGGTGCTGGCAGCCGGGGGAAGGAAGGCCTACTCTTGCATGAATTTCGTGCATGGGGCCTCTAGTTTGTTCATAAAGATGTATGTACCCCTATGTTTATGGCAGTCAAGCGTCCTTCGATGGATGATTAGATAAAGATGTGGTAGGGTGGAATACTACTCAGCCATAAGAAGGGATGAAATACTGCCATTTGTGACAACATGGATCTTGAGAGTATCATGCTAAGTGAAATAAGTCAGGCAGAAAAGGACAAGAACCATATGCTTTCACATGTGGGATATAAAACAGCAACAAACCAACTAACAAAACAAACAAACCATGGACACAAACAACAACTTGGTTTTTACCAGAAGGAAAGGTGGGTAGAGAGAGAATGAAGAGGACAAAGGGGGTCAAGTACAAGGTGAGGAGGGAGACTATATTTTGGGTGGTGCGCACACAGTACAATATACAGATGATATGTTATAGAATTGACCCTTGAAACTTCTGTTAATTAACCAATGTCACCCCAATAAATTTTTTAAAAAAATAAGAAAAAGAAAATCTCCCTGCCAGTGTGTCTGCATTTGAAACTCCTCCCATAGGGCCTGCTCAGGTGCCCCAATGTCTTCACTTCAACCTTTGTCCCTGCATAGCTGTGCTCCCTCTTGGGGTTGAGGCACATAGCCTGAGCCTTCCTGACCGCCCAGCTACCACTCTTGCTCAGTTCTTCATTGCCCTTCTCTGAGATGAGCTTGAGCATACAAATACCCTCTTCCAAATGGGTTGTGGCCAAATTTTAAATGCTTAAGTATGCCAATATTTTCTACATTTCTTCTATTTCAGATAGAATTTCTTTAAGGTTATTTGTATTACCTAACACTGCTGTCCACCTCTGCTCTCCCTTCCTCTCACCCCTAGACATCATGAAAGTATTTATCAATTACAGGTAACATTAATTAGTAATGGAAAACATATTTATTAAATGGATGTATCATTATTTAGAACCATTCCAAAACTAATGTTAAACCAAAACTTTAGAGACCAAGGGTTTTCCTGAAAGTGTTTACTGAGCCATAGACTAGCCAGAGAAAGAGCCAGGTCCTGTGGCATGCACACTAAGCCACTAGCATCAGGGCTAGATGAAGAAGACAAACTGTCCACAGTCCTGAGGTTGACCGAAACTTTTTTATACTATGAGTTTGAGGAAGAATGATGTAAGTTGTTTGAAAGAATTTTTAATGGCCATATATAAAGCGTGAGGGAAAGGTGAAGCTGGGAAAGTCCTGGGATGGTGATTAGTTGCATTGGTTGCTTCTGGATTGGGTGTGGGCAAAGTTCAAGGGTAAGCAGAATGCCAGGGCATCTAGTAGTCCCCTATTCTTTCTAGATAACTGTGGAGATAACTGCTTGAAAGTTGATTCAAAGTTTCAACATACATCCAGGAATGTGTGCCGTCCTTTGTTGGTTTCGGCCTGCAGGCTGCAGATTAACTTTTCTGACTCATCTACTTTCTGGCCTGCTGTAATTTAGAATACCTCAGGTTTTTGTTTTTCTTTCTTGTCTCTAAAATTTATTGTACCTAAATATTGTCATAACAGTTAAGACATATGAAGCATAATTTAAACCAAAATTACATACTTTCCCTTCAAAAAGTAAAATAATGTACATACATATTAAAGATTATCCTCGACCATACACAATTGACACAATACCCAAACAGAACAGCAAGTCTTATCTCCTAGATGAATATTCTTCTTCCAAAGTTTCTAAAGAGAACTCCACACTTCGAACAGTTCATTTCTCTGTAAAAAGTTAGGTTTGGGGACACCAAACTCAGATAAAAATTTCTGTTATCCTACATAACTAAAATTTAAGTATAAATCATATAACCAACTTAAATTAATATCTTTTAAATATTTGTGTATTAAAAATCACTATTTACTTCAATAAAGTCTTTAAGCAAACTGATAAGAACGTGAAAGCGAACACAACAAAGGAATAAATATGTTTTATAGTATATTTTGTCACAACAATCAAATTAATCAGATTTCAAAATATTCCTTTTTCTAACAAATCCCTAAAATAGTATAGGGGCATTTTATCTACCAAACATCCGGAAGGGTTTTACACACACACACACACACACACACACACACACACATATAGTCACATACACAAATATATATAATCAGTATGGCAGTTTATAAGGCTGTTGATTTTTTTTTTTAATATTTTATTGATTTTGTACAGAGAGGAAGGGAGAGGGATAGAGAGTTAGAAACATCAATAAGAGAGAAACATCGATCAGCTGCCTCTTGCACACTCCCTACTGGATATGTGCCCGCAACCAAGGTACATGCCCTTGACCGGAATCGAACCTGGGACCCTTGAGTCCACAGGCCGACGCTCTATCCACTGAGCCAAACCAGTTAAGGCAAGGCTGTTGATTTTTGACATAATCAGAATCTATTGGGTATGAAAATATATATATATATTTACTTATATATATGATTTATTCTTTACAGACCCATGACAAGGCATTTGGGAGCAGTTCAAACACATCATTTTTATCTCTAAAAAATGTAAAACAGCACTTCCTGTTCCATCCTGGGATCCACCTTGAGAACTGGGGACAAAAGGAACCATTTATCCCGCTTGGATTCTGGAACTTACCCCTGCCAGGAGTACAGGGGATGAAGAGCAAAGTGGGAAGTGAAGGGAGGCCAACAACTTCGCAGTGACAGCAGAGTGATGCTATCAGGATAGCAAGAGGACTCTAGAGTGTCTCCCGCCCACCCACCCACCCCACCCCGCAAAGCAGGCAAAGGGTGTGATGACTTGTTCTGCATGGCATGGCAGTCATCTTACAGCCAATGAGAAATAGATGGCTTTTGTTTTTTCAACAAAGCAAATATTCCCCCCACATCAGACTGAAATGCACCTCCCAGAAATGTGCCTAGAATTCGTGTACAGAAGAGTGACCTAAAAACGTGACTGAATTCATTTCAGCCTGTCAATCAAAGGTTGGCATCTTTTTTTTTTTTTAATTAAATCTTTATTGTTCAGGTTATTACATTTGTTCCTCTTTTTTCCCCCCATAACTCCCCTCCTCCCAGTTCCCACCCCACCCTCCGCCCTCACTCCCCACCCACTGTCCTCATCCATAGGTGCACGATTTTTGTCCAGTCTCTTCCCGC